CAACCCAGAGGACCCCTGGCTAGTGGGGAAGGGCTTGGCATGAAAATCAAGATGTTACTAGATGGCTGGTAATTCAGGCACTTGGCTCTCATTTCTCCTTCCGAGGACTGAGCTGTAGGCCTCAATCTCCCCATCTTATAAAGTTAGAATCTCACAGTTTGTAGTTCTCTGATGAAGGGTCCAGTGTAAGGTGTTTGAGGAAGGGCAGGAAGGAGCAGAAAGGATGGGCAGACATCTGTTACCTCCCAGTGAACAGACATTTCCTCCGAATGGCTCAGGCACGGTTTTGCTCGTCCAAGGCTCCCTTATCTGCTTCCAGGGGATCTGGGGTCCTGCTGGTCACCTTCCTCGGGAAATGAGGTTTCCTTAGAGGCCACCAGCTCGTCTGTCTCACCTTTAGCGGCTGTCGGGGCTCCCAGGCCCCCTTCAGAGTGGGATGGCGGGGGCGGTGTGGCGGATGGACTCTCATGGGCCGACAGAGGGCTGGCGTGGGGACAGGTCAGCGCTTACACTGATCCTCCTCCAGCCTCCCCGCCTGTCGCCCAGGCTCACTTCTTCCCCAGTCCTTAAGTCCCACCCAGCCCTTAGTTTCAGGGTACCCGTCTGAGGAAGACCATGGGACACCAGGCGCTCTGCAGCTGTTAGAAAGGATTTCCTTCTGGGCGGAAGGAAATCTTTCCCCTCTTTTATCGCGCCAAGTTTCTTAGTGGCGGAGCGACTTGCCCCAGGCACCCAGCCGGGCGAGCAGGGACGGCCGCGTCCTGGTCAGCGTCCTTCCCACGGCCAGCACGTGGGGCTCCGTTTCCTTCCGCGCTCCGGTCCAGCCCCCGCCCGCGGGCTTCATCTGGGCGGCAGGAAGGCAGACTCGACCCGCGTGCCGGGGGCGGGGTGATCCCGCGCCAGACGGCGACCCCGGGAGGAGGGCCAAGCTTACGGGCGCGGGAGGGAGCGCTGGGCGTCCGGGCGGGAAGAACGTCGGATCGGGGTCCGAAGGGCAGCGCCGGGGACCCTTTTCCCCGCCTAGCCGGCACTGGGGGGCAGCCCGGCCCGGCGCAGCCCTCTCCCACCTCCCACCTGCGCCCCTCCGCCCGCGCCGTCTCCCTGTCCGCGCGCAGGGAGTGTCCGGCGGCCGCGCCCAGGGGTCCCGAGCGCTGGGCGTCCGGGCGGGAAGAACGTCGGATCGGGGTCCGAAGGGCAGCGCCGGGGACCCTTTTCCCCGCCTAGCCGGCACTGGGGGGCAGCCCGGCCCGGCCCAGCCCTCTCCCACCTCCCACCTGCGCCCCTCCGCCCGCGCCGTCTCCCTGTCCGCGCGCAGGGAGTGTCCGGCGGCCGCGCCCAGGGGTCCCCACACACGCACACTCTCCCGGGCACCCAACCTCGCCGCGCCCGCCTCGCGGCCTCCCTTTGGAAGAGTCGAGTGACTGCGTCTCGCTCATAGAGACGCTCTGGGTTTGGGTGTTGAACCGCCGCCGCCTCCATCCTACTTTTCCCGGGTCCACTTCCCTCTAGTTCCGGACCTGGGCCCTTCTCTGCCGGTCCCTGCCCCAGCCGGCCGTTCCGAAGACCCCTCGGCGGCGGCAGCGGCGGCGCGCAGGGGTGGACTTCCTGGCCCATTTCCTCGCCCAGGGGGCCTGGCTTGGCATCTGGCCCCCCGCGTGGCCGGCTGGGCGAAGTGGGCAGCCCTCCACCCTCTCCAGCCTCAGTTTCTACATCATTACAACTGGGGCACCCAGATGGCGGGAGGGCCTGGCACGAGGTGACAGTGGGGAACAGCGCTGCATCTCCTCCTACCCACCTAGTTCTTTTTCTACCGTTTAGGTTTTTTTTACTTTTCAACGCTCCACAAGATCGTCACTATTGCTCACTCAAAAGAACAAAAGCCCCAAATGGCATAGCTATCGTTGTTTTTCATTCCCCACCCCCAGGAGCTCCAGGAGAGACTTCATCTAACACCCTGATACCAGTTCGGACCCAGGCTTCCCTCTTTTTGCCCTTCCTCCTCTCCCTGAAAGAGGCGCACAGTCATATTCTCTTTTGGGGAGTGGTAGAAGAGGCTGTGGCTCCTACTTATGACGTGGAGGTCTTAGGCAGATCCTAGGGACTGGAGTGCAAAGGGATCCCAGGAAGAGAGCGCCCGCCCCCTCAAGGAAAATAGGCCATTCCAGGAGCTGATGAATGTGACCTGCAAGTCCTTTCCTGCCACACAGCCCCTATGGGTTGTGATCACTAACAATTACTGTGGTAAAGGAACCTCATCTGAACATCCCTCAGGTGCGACTGGAGAGAGATCAGGGAGGGGCTGCGGCTGTCCAGGCTCCTCCCTTCACCTCTGGCCCAGGATACTCCTCCCTGGGGAATGCTTTCAGCTGCCAGGAATGCTGGGGGTGGTGGGGGCAGCTTTCCCAGCCTGATACTGACTCTCCTTGTAGATCAGGCTGGTGAGGAACTGGCACGCGGTTGTGTAGTGCCTGGAATCACCAGCACCTACAGACGGATCCCGGACACCGCTCAAGGGTGCTCACTGGACTCCTGGAAGAGGGATGGCAAGCTGAGAGGTTTCCGGAGGCAGGTGCGGCTTCTCAAACTGGCCTCCCAGGACTCAGGAGTGGAGATGGCTGTTGGAGACAGCTCTCCGGCCACCTCACCGGGCCCTTCTCAGGAGCCTCTGGACTTTGAGCCTGTGGTGAGCCCTGAGCCCCTGGCCCTGCCCATGGAGCCTCCTGCCCACCTAGGCCGCCTCCTGGCCAGCAGTAAGCTGGAGCAGGTGTTGGAGAGGTCCCGCCAGCTCCCGACTTCCCCTGCCTGCTTGTCACAACATCACCGCTCCCTAAGGCCGCCAAGCAAGCCTGGGTGTGAAATGCCCCTTTTCGGAGCAGGGGACCAGGAGGCCATGAAGGCAGGGGTGGAAGAAGCA